TCTGATCGGGGAGACGTAAGACTCGGGTTCGGGGGACTCGGGTTGGCCTGACGGGGCCATCATGAAAACGACGAGAAGCAGTCTGAAATTTGACGCAAACTCCCGCTGCAAACATCCCACGAAAAATGAACCGTCAAAACTCAGGACGCGGTATCGTCAAAAAGCGCCGGCAAACCCGAGCTCCAGCGTGCTCGAGTCTTACGTTTCCCCGATCGGACCCCATCTGGGAGGCCTAGCTTGGCAACCCCCGCAGGCTTCTTCCCCCCCGCAAACTGCCTTACACAGTTTCAACTCCAAGGAGGCGGAGGACGAGGCCGAACGAGGAAGCGGAGGAAGACGAGGCCGAGGGGAAGCCGCGACGAGCCCCGAGCGCAGAACCGAAAGAGCGGGGGGGGGGCAGGAGAGGAGATGAGGGGAAACGATAGGGGGGGACTGGCATAGGGGGGATGCATCGAGCTGGAATCGGCGATACATCGCCGATAGTTCGGCGATAGGCCTCCGATAGTAAACCCGCACCTTCCTGGGCAGGTTGGGGCTATCGGGCCCCTATCGGCGCTCAATGGGCGATTGGGGGTCGATGCATCCCCCCCTGTGCCTGTCCCCCCCCTCTCGTTGCCCCCGTGGAGAGGGGAGCACGAGAGCGACGCGACGAGACGACGCGAGGCAAAACGACCAGATCCTGGTACAGCCTCTCGAAGACGCCCCCCGGCGCGGCCGAGCGAGCCTCCCGCTCCGCGCCGGGCGACCCCGGCGGGCGCGGCGCCGCCCGCGGCGACCGCGGCGGCGTCCCGCGCCCGCGGCCGCCGCGGGGCGAGACGGAGCCCGGCGGCGGGGCGCGGTTCGGAGGCAGCCGCGGGCCCGGCCCTGGCGGCGAGGGCGGCGGCGGCGTGGGCGTCCGCGGCCGCCTCGCCTGCCGGGGATAAGACGAGGCCAGGACGAGGCCAAAACCGGGTAAAGGTGTGGCTTAACCAGGGGGGGTCATAGATGGGGGGGTCGGAAACGGTCCGCTTTCCTTCCTGCCCTCTTCGGGCCCCTCCGGAGCCCCAGGGGGCTCGTTCAGGCACCGTGTGGGTACCTTTTCGGACAACCCTCGCCACCCCCCATTTACGACCCCCCCCCATTACGCGACGCCCAATGAATCGAGAATCTCTGAGATCTGGCGGAACTAGAGAGGATGTCTCGGGCGCCGCGGCCTGGTCAGAGCGTTCTGGAACGCGTTTGCGCACATGCCGGGCGTTCGCGCCACGGTGTCGGGCCCCAGGGGGGGGGGGCCATCACCGATCGGGATCGGGCTGGGGAGCTGCCGCGGAAAGGTGCGGTCTAGAGGGCTCCAGTCGTGATCTGTCTGTTCGCGATGTTGCGTTCTTGTTCGCAGTATCGGATTTCGGGGCGGTGGTGCAGCGGCAGACTCAGCAGGGGGGGGATGGGGCCCCAGGCCCCCCTCGCGCCGCGGACCACACAGCCACGGAGGGACGCGTCTGGCCGCGTTTGGCCCCCGCTCTTCTTGATCGTCCGGGGGGGACCCGACAGCGGGCCCCAGGGGCCGGAGTCGAGGGCAAAGCGCGGGGCCTGGACGGGTCACATCGCCAGAGGTCGGGGCTCCCTCCCCGAGGCTCGCCCTGGGGCGCGCTCTGACCAGCATCGCGACTCTCGAAGCTCGATCCTATACCGGTCATCCTCACTCCCCTCCCCTGCCACACCGTCTCGAGCCCCTCCCTGAAGCGAAGCGAGATGAAATCCTGCCGGAGTGGCCCGCGTGGGGCCGGAACCTTGGCGAAGCCCTCACGAGCCGAAGTGCGGCGTCACCGAGCTGGACAGAAAACATGACGTTAGACTTAGCCACTCGTCTACGTTGCCGAGGATCGGCTACACGCAAGAGCGCAAGATTTACCCTAGGCAAGAGAGAAGAGAGATCGTTGGTGCGCGGTCCCAGGGGGCCGCGGCGGCCAAACCCAAGCGCTCCAGCCAGTGCTGGGGGGACCCCGGCTCGGGGCGACCCATGCACCCTCGGAATGCTCTCGGCGAGGCCCAGCTGCTGGAACACATCCCGAGGCCAGAGTACCGACGGAGAGCCAATCTTTGGAGGCCTAGAAGTCGGCACCAACACCAACACAGGGGGTTGCCTCCACATGGGGAAGATGATCCTAGATTTCGGTGTTGGTGGCAATGCTTCGGTCACCTTGGAAGCCAGAATACTACCACCATCGCCGAGATCGGGATCCTCGTCCCTCGGTGGAGGCACACCGCCGATCTTGGCGTTGGCGTCAACATCTAGGCCTGCGATATCTCCCCACTGACGTCCCTGTCCAGATGGAGCCGCCTGCGCCCACCGCGGACCCTGCCGCGGCGACCACCAGAGGGGCGACACAGCGCCCCAAAAGACGCTGATGCATAATTACACTCGAAGCCCAATCCTGGACAGGTTTCTCCCCTCCCCCCCCTGGCCCGCACCCTCGGGCCCACACCCCCGAGGCGCAGCGAAGGGCCACTGCTGCGTCTT